CGCTTCAAAGTGGGCTGTTCAGCTTGATGAAGTGCAGGACGAGCCGGGTGACAGGCCCTGCTGAGGGCCACATGCACTAGTGTTTACACTGACGCTGGTTCACTTATACACTATTAAGACACATACACAAATATATATGGGATGGAAAATGGATGGCTGTCAAATCTGTGGCTGTACTGCCCCCATGTGGTAGACAGAGTGCATGTCTGAAGCTGCACTGTAGGTCACGGTAATGGGTAGCCAGTCACAATAGTGCCTCTATAAAGACAATGAATTGCATTTGACTGCTCCTTTCTTTTTAAAAGAGTCGGGTTATCTACAAAATGTCGTAAAAGTATATGGAAATTTTTTACTCATAAGCCTCTGCACATTATTTCCTGTGCAGGAGCTTTGGTCCTTACATGACTTCCAGCTCCGCTGGTAATACTTTTGTATAGCTATTCTCACACTGTACACAGCTACTGATGCAGACTGACATAGAGAAACAAAAAGAAGAAGCGAGCTTTAATATTTTTCATAGAAAATATTTCACATAAAAACAACAGAGGGAGAAAAAGCCTAATGCACCACAAACACCTCCCGCTGTTCGTGCACAGCCAGGGAGAGAAAGGAAATGAAAGCGAGACAGACAGAGGGGAGCACAGGGAGGGAGGAAAACATACAGGAAAGTCTTTCGGTGTCATGCTCAAGGGCAACTCAGCAGAACAGATTAGTGATTGGAATTATCTGCAAATAAAGACAAAAGAAGTGCAGTCATTTCCTCTGCAATGCAAAATTCAGCACATTTTCAACAAGAACTGTAGAAGTAGGTTATGAGATCCAAACAAAAAACAAATAGTTTTATTGAGCTGGGCAGACAGAAAGAAAGAAAACAGAGAGCAGAGGTGGAGCCGTTTCTGTTGCACTGACCTCTGGAAACATTGGCAGGGCAGATGACAGAGCTAAATGTAGTGGAGGAAGACAGACTGCTTTGGAGACAACAGCAGTTCAGAGGTGGAGCTGGCATGAGAAACAAACCTTCTGCTCTGTCTAGGAATCTATTTGTGTGGGAAAAACTGGCTGGTGTGTGGTTCTTGCTCGGTTTGCGCGTGCCGAAGATGACTCAGTCGTAAAAACAGCAAAGCTATAAGACACCACCTACAGTACATCAGGTCTGCCATACTGTTGAATAACTCAATGTACTTCCTGAAGTGATATTTGAGTGGAAGGAGTTTAAAGATGTATTTCTCTGTATCATATCCACTCATAGCTGGCTTGTCTCTGTTTGTTAGCACTCATGAATTCATGTTGACCTCATTTACGGCACCGACCTTCAACTCTTCTTCATCATCACATACTCTCCCTGGTGACTCTGGCTACAGTCTGCGCCAGCTGCCAGACTACACCACATGCACGGATACAATAAACATACACACACACACACACACACACATTCACACAAAATCAAAAACGGGCATCACTTTCACACAGCATGTATAGGTGCACGCATAACCAATTACAGTATGTGCATTATGTATTTAGTGCATTGGTTACAAGTAGGGATAGACATGTGCACATACATAAACACGCAAACCAGCACACGCACCCACAGCAGCCGCAATACAAACACCTCAGAGAGGAAAACATGCACCCTGTTGGGAATGAAATTCACACCGAAGGTGGCACAGAAACGTGTGTGTGTGCATGAGGATGTGGGTCGGTGTCAGAGCACAGCACCCTTTGCCCGCCTTGCAGTTGATAGATCTCAGCTGCACATCTTTATCCTTCAGCGTCTGTCTATCCCTGTGAACTTCCTCCTCCTCCTCCTCACACACACACACACACACTGCTGCAGTAAACACCCCTCCTCTGCCAGCGCACACACACCTCCTCGTATCTTTTTGTGACAGAGACAGAGATGGAGGGAGGGTGGGGGATTAAATAAGGGGAGGTGATGCACAGTGCAAGATGTGATGTGGAGATCTCACGTACGGGTCGCACAGAGTGACTCACTGCTTCTGCATCAGTTAACAATATGCACCTCTCACACATCTACTTTTATATTTGCATACTTAAACAGTCTGTTTGTTCCACCTTAGCTATACTTCTGATTTTCCAGACTATAATCATTCTCCAACATCTAATACCAGCCCTTTTCCTAATTTAGAAAATTCTAATTTTATTCCTAAAATCATATCCCAACACAGACTCATCTGTCTCGATGTGCTGGTTCACTGAGGGAGTTTCTGTGCTGACTGGCTGGAAATCTTATGTTCAGCTGCTCCAGCTACTAAAGAAATAAATTCTGGTTAGAGCTGTGTAGCTCAGCTTAGTGACGTGGCACATGGTGAATGTCGTGAGATGAACTGGCTTGTGATTTCCAGTCCTCAAAGTCCAGATGTATTTCTGAGCCGTGGCCCAATTCCAAGCTAAATACTAATTCTAAACAGGTTTTTGTGTGTGTTTTCTGTCCCATAAAAAAGAAAACTAGGTATAGACAAAGAGAAACATAGTAAATCTGTGTGTGCTGTTGGATAAAGTCATTGACAATCCATTAAATCTTTAGGAAAGTATTTTTTGCTTTCTCTCTTTGAAGTTTTATTGCAAGGTTCAGTTTGACATCGTCAGTGCAAGACAGCTTGCAACTCTTTTTTTATGCATCTTTCTCATCTGGGAAAACATCTAAGTCATTGACCAAGAGTCACTTGAGAGGTGGAATAAAACTGAAGGCCATACACAGACACGTAGGACCACCTGTTACAGGACCCCAACTCCACGCTTGATAACAAGGACCTTACAAACGTTAAGACTTTGCCCACTGGGGAAGGCTGAACAATGTACTAGATGAAAGTTCAGGAAACATCAAGTGGACCTGATGCTACTATGCCTCCAGCCTTTTCAACTGCTGGCATCATAATAACCCCCGCCTCCAGCCACCATGAAGGCAGGGTGGGTTGCAAAAGGTGTGAAGAACGAACAGACACTGGGACAAAAGTTGTCCATCCAACCGGAAGGCAGGTAGAAGGATAAATTTAGGCCCTGCTACCTTTCCCCAGAGTGCAATTACACAAGTAATTATTCTCCCTGGGCATCACACACTCTAAACCGACAAGATCACAGCCAATCTGTCAGGGCCAGCTGGGATTCTGGACACTTAATGTACTTCAATAGGCTTGCCCTCGTGATAACTAGCTACGGAAATCGCCAGAGGGAATGTGTGAAGAGCAGGAAGAGGAGATTGGGAGAGGATGAGATGATGAGAAGAATATGAGGTGAAGGGTAGAGGGATGTTAGAGGCACACATGCAAGTACATATCTTAAGCTGATATTCTGTGAGGGTTTATATATTCCGTGAGAGAAATATCAATGCAGAGCTGGAGATCAGCAACAGTAGAATATGATGAGATGACACATCTTTACTCTGTATTCATCTTCCCAGCTATTTCAGTTAGATATCCGTGTGTGCACAGACACATCTGGAGTGAATAGAAGACCTCAGAGTGAAATGAAACCTCTGGAGCAGTGCTTTTTTCCCTGGCTTCAGAATGTGAAGGAATACAGGTGCCAATTATTTTCACATCTAATGTAAACCAGAGAACAAGGACGTGTCAATCACTGCAGCAGCTTTTTTGGAATGGAAATTGGATGTATTCATAGCAATGTGGCTATTTTGGCTGCTGATGAAATGGGCTGTTTGGGACTTATAAAAATATCCCTGCAGATTCAGGCTTTGTAAAGAAAAGGCATCTGAACTTCAAACCGGTCCGTCTATAATAAGCAGAAAATGTGGTGAGGTGAAAATTACATTCTCCTGACTGTGATCAATAAGGCGTTTCATTTTTGAGTTATGCTCAGGAATACTATTTTTGGATTTAGCTCCTATTCTAACTGGTATTAACAAAAGAAGTCACTGGGAAATGCATGTAACCTGACACTGTAGAAGTGCAAAGGACAATACACTAAGGAAACGACAGTCTACTGCCACACTAGCTGAGCTAAATGCTAACATTTGAATACCCCAACAACAGAGCTAATACGCTTTATGCACATAGCTACAATTTTTACCATAGTTTAGCATGTCAGCTACTATTTTCTAATTCAGTAGAAGTACAGGATATTATAATCACCGAGTACTTTAAGTATCAAAATTGGAACAGCCCCTGTAACTCTAGCAGCCAAATAAATGTTGAGCAGTAAAAAGTTCACTATTTCATCTGCAATGTAAATACTGACATAAAGTACAAACATCTCTGATAATTAAATGCAGTATTTGAGTAGATGTACTCTGTTACGTTCCACCGCAGCAGTTCTAGCTAGTCCCTCAAATTTATGAAGGTACTGTAGTAAATTATTAGAATACTCTTTAAAGTCATCCTATGTGTCCCCAAACGCATGCTGCTCTGACTGGAGTCAAACTGGCTGAAAAGCTGCCTCATGCCTGGGATTTCAGGAGCCATCGCAGGCAGATCATTTTTACTCAATTTGGTGTCAGAAATAAGCTGATGAACAGGATGATTGCTGATTTAGTGACAGCTGAACACACATACAGTCAGTAGCAACTTCATACACCTGTCTGGTAGCAGTAGGAGGCCATATTTGTCCCCACCAAGGTCACATCACACTGAAAGTCAAACTATTTTTGGTGATACATGCTGACTGTACTGTCACATTCCACTGCTTAAATTTGATCAGACTGAGACCTGTCTGCATGTTTACACTTTATTTGTGCCATCTAAAAGCCTGACCTGTAAATTGAAAGGTGAACTAAATAATGTGGCAGCACAAAATCTATCAAGTCTGAAGAAAACTGGATATAACAACTCTATTCCCCTGGTGTGTCAAAGCCAGGTCAGAGTGAAGCCCTGCGTTAAGCGCCTGCCAAACACGTTCAAAGTCTCTCTGAGATAAAGAAGCCGTCCCTTTGACATTTCGCAAAATACCATGTATGACAACCCCTAAAAGCTACAGGAAATGTGTTCCCTCAGCTGCGTGTTCTAAAAAGCCTTTTCCTTTCAAAGGCAGCAGCAGAATGACAAACCAGAGACATTTTAGCATCCACGGCTACAGAGCTGAGTGAGCTCCTCCTTTCCTCCATGCTAATTCAACCGGGGTCACAGCGCTGAGTGTTTGCTTGAGTGCTTCGCTGTGGGATTAGGAGATTCAACAGGCAGACAGCCATTTGAATAATTGTTTTCAAATGTCTTTCTTAATATCAAGATCCCATTACTTACTATTCTGCACACTCTCTAGCGATGAGCGCTGGGACCGTTAGGTTTGTGTGTGTGTGCCTGTCTAATGGAAAGCACTTATGCAAGGCCATGGAGACTCACTCAGAATGCGACATAAACGCAAGCACAGAACACAAAAACACAGAACACTTGATGTAGATCGGCTCATTAACTGCGCAAGTGGAAGGACTACACTGCAGCCACCTTGGGATGAAGATAATAGCTTTGCTGTCACTTGTGTGACAGCACTAAGGTTTGGCCATTTTCTAAACATACAGATTCTGAAGTTAAAGATGACAAATGCTCAGTGATTTCGCAACAAATTCAGTGTTGGCAGGGTGTAGGCTTTAAACCTCTAAGAACTCATTTGATAATGAGACTTGAGTGGTGAAAACTTTAAAATCAACATCTACCTTTCATGAAACATGTGGTTTTATTCTAAGAGGCAAATGTTTTGACCGTGGGAACACAAACTGACTTTAATTTTTAGGAACAGTTGTACATTTCAGATAGTTTTTAGCAAGGTTTGCCAGATGTTGTTGGAACATACTGTCGTCTGTCATGAGATTTAACAAAAAAAAAGAGCAAAGAACAAAATGTAAAAAATAGTAGATTGTAAAACAGCAGTTAGCCTCGAGGCAAAGAATCTCATAGGAGCAAAAACCTGCGGCTATCCATAAACACAATTCTATTATATTACAGCTGGTCAGTAGCCCCTCAATGAATGCTCAGTGGACAATATCAGTGCATGTAAAATGACTACATGTAAAAAAAAAAAAACAGTTGATTCTCAAAGGGAAACTACATTATGAAATGCATGGCTGGGGACCATCTGCAAATCGTTCACAGACCACCAGGGGGCTGTGAACCACTGGTTGGAATTCCCTAATCTAAAAGACACTAAAGAGCTCTGCTCCCCCATTCACATTACACACTGTAATTTTATCCTTTGCTTATGTTAAAAGCTTGATTAGAACAGCTTAAAAGTTCACATGCAGTAATAGCTTTTCTATGTATTCAGACTCTTTGCTCTACATTGGGCTTTGGTGTATTCGTTTCCTTTTGATTATTTCTGAATCAAACACTTCCTTTGAATTCCTTCTATTGGATGGATATTATATGAACAAGCTTATTAAAACCCATTAAAGGTTTCAGTTCATACTACTAACACTGAACCCATGAACTAGATCAATATGTATTGTCACTGCTTATTGCACCTGGTTAACAACAAGTACCCAGAAGTGGTATTGACTTACATCTCACTCATCAAGTTACACTGACTCACACTGATTGGCTGGAGACCTTTACCATAACCACTACTTGACTAACCCCGACCTAAACAACGTTGTTGCTCAAAAATATATTTACACATAATGTGAGTGTGTAACCAGTTTGTCCCTACAATGTGAGCAATACAGGCATTTTGTCTCTGGTAGGGCCAAGACTGAGACAAGTCCAGACCACCAGACAAACAAGAAGCAATCACTACACCACTGAATTATTTATTACACTTGTTTGGCATTTTTTTCTTTGTCTGCCCCCAATTTTTCCTCTTGCCGTCTTTCTACCTACTTTCCTCTCCCAAGGCGTAGACGGTCGCTTAGCAACCTGCACAACACAACAGTGCGGCTCTCCAACCTGGCTCTCTGCTCAGTGTACCCCTGTGGTTTCATACAATCAAATATATGAGTATGTGTGCACTCATACAGAATGTGTGGAAAGGTGAAAGCTATGAATAGTTTCCATCTCACAAGTGAAAGCCAGTAGTCACTTTAGCTTTTAAGAGCTGTCTCTTGTCTCGAGTGTAACATCATCTTGCATTCATCGGGGATTTATTACAGGGCATCCAACTCTGACCTGCCTTAAACATAAAGGACAACAATGAGTAAGACTGAACAGATATGCTTTTAATTCACTCCAGCTTGAATAAAACCACAAAAATCCACCTGTTGCAGACAGTCATCTATTTAGAAGCTAGTGCTTCGTGGTGGAGCATTAATTTGTGTAGTATTTTCTAATAATTGCTATACAATCAAAGCTAATATTGCTTGGCAAAAATATTTGAGCTCTAAAAAGAGAAACCCAAACCTGCAGAGGCTTCAAATTTGATAGCACTGAAAGATACAGGGCTGTCGTTGAAGTGTGCTGAGCCTCTGACCCACCTACAAATCAAAAAAGATAACCTACAGCAAAACACAGCCCACTAATGGCAACATAAGCACTGAGCAAATCACTGTAGTACATTATTAATGCAATTATTCAAATACAGTGTTTTGTGCTGCTTCATCTCCACTCACAGTTTCAAATGTAATCTGAGCACAATCTGTAGAAAAAAATAACAGACATCAGGTTTTCCACGTGTGCCTACTTAATAAAGACACAAATAGTTACGAGGTTACTGTAATCAAGCTAGTCACAATCAAAAAATTAGAAGTTACATCACGGCTTTACAAAAATATACATTTTGTGGACTTGCACAGAGCGACACAAATGTGGTGTGTTCAGTAGTTTAAAAAAGAAGGTAAAAATGCAAGATCTCTTTAGTTTACAAAAGCAAAGCTCAAGAACAAATGGCACTTACTGTAACTATAGCAGTTAGGGACTACAGCCACACACAAGTAAATAAACATTCCCACAGAAAACTCAGATTGGAGGTGCGATCAGTACACAGACACTGGGCTGCTTCACAACCACAGTCTAGGCTTTGAGCTGAATCAAACTCATCCGGCTCAGGAAAGGTCCCTCATTGATAAAAGATTCATTATACTTGATCTCGACTGAAATTTAAAATGTTCTGCCACAAATTTGGCAAAAAAAAGAGAGAAATATGGGACCCCAGTCAAATTCTGATGCAACCTGCTTCGCACATCAACCTGAGTATGGTTTTAAAGAAAACGTTCTTCCTATTAGGACTGATCACAGTCTTGGTACAGAATTTGAATGAACAATGAGGTTTTGTTGTAAATGTGCAGGTGATATGTTAAGGCTCAATTTCAGTCATTTATTTGAACTGTAAATAGGCAATATTTAAATAAACCAGCTGTTAGGAATGATCCAGTTCTACCTCAGGACTTGATATCATTGATGGCTAAAAGAATATGACTGGTACAATTTGTTTTTTTCCCCACACCAAACATTCCCAAAATAAATATCACATGGCAAGTGTAACTCAATTTGTGCCAGAACAATGAACTACCAGAGCTTCAGACCTCCACCGACGCTGTGTTCAGCTCCTGGTTTCCCTCTGCAGCAGGGCCAAGTGGTCCAGCCCACCACAGTGACAGGGTGTTGTCTTGTCTAATCTCCTGCGGTGACAAAATAGCTTCATCTCCCTCACCATCAGAGGCCGAGTCACCCTCGCTGTCGCTGGGCCACGGGAACTGACGCTGGCCACTGGAAGTTGCCAACAACGGCATGAAGGGATGAATACTGTGGAAGAGAAAAACAAAGGAATGCGGTAGAACAGGAAGAAAATTGAAAATGTCAGGCAAGGAGAAGGATGTGGCAGGAATATAACATTTCATTTTGCACTGCAGCATTACACTTGTACATTCAAAATACATATTAACACAAAGAGGAAATAACTGAGTCATTTTATAGTCCTGATGCAACTACGGTGTGCAAAGGTCTGAGGCCACCATTAGATTTGTTGTTTTAGCAATGTTGTGTGATGGCTGTATATGTATTTATCAGAATACAGCTAGAAAATATAAGAAACATGTACACAGTATTAAAAAATACAAAGATGTCAGCAAACAAACTGGATACTCCAGATGTGTTATTCAAGCTGTTCTAAAGAAATATCAAGAATCCAGAGAGGCCGAGGACAAAAACAGAGAGGAAGACCAAGAAAACCATCAAGATCTGATGGGATGTTTCTCAGAGTTTCTTCTCAGAGACCAAAAGAAATCCAGCAGGGACCCGGCTCAGCATCTGGCAACCCTCATCCAGATGCCCAGCTGATCCTCCCACAGTTTGAAGAACCTTGATCAGGAACGGCCTTTGTAGAAGGACAGCGGCGAAGAAGCCACATTTTCAGAAGGAGGGTATGGAGAAAAGGCAAATATATGCAAATCTGTCGTGGTTTCAAGACCATCTGTGCTGAGTGCACAGGGAGGGCATACTAAATACAGACTTTGGAGAGTAGAAGCCATTTTGTTCTGAAATGTTAGTTTTTTAATACTGTGTACATATTTCCTATATTGTCTGGTTAGGTTGTAATAAAGAAAAATATACATTATCATTACAACTTTTCTAAAAGAGCAAAACTAATGGTTTAGTGTCAAAGGAATAGCTGAGATGTTGTTAGCTATCCCACCTGATGCCATTGGTGCAGTCCCAGTGGGCCTGGAACCTGAGCTGAGGTTGTAGCAGCTGCTCGTCACCATCAGTAGGAGCTGTCTGGGTGTCCCAGACTGACACCACTCCCTCTGTGTTGCCACTCAGCAGGTACCTGCCTGATCTACAATTGCACACAAACAAACACTAGTGGACAATTAAAACAACTGCCAACAGAAGTCACATTATAAACCCATATCAAAATTCAATAAAAAGGTCAGTCTATTCATATAAAGTATAATGTAGTATTGTGGTTTTGTCAGTTTAAGCTCACAAGCATGTTTCTGAGCAGAGCTCTTGTTGGTAAAGAATACTTACAGGTCCAGGTCAAAGTAGATGCGCTGATTAGTGGCCACGTTCCTCTTAAGAGAAAACACAACCTTGCCTGGCTCTCTTAGGTCCCAGCACAGTATTTCTGGATCCTACACACACACACACACAGAGACACACACTCTGTCTCAATCCATAAGAGGTACACAGCCCTGCAGGTATCAGATATTCTTCTGTCTGATCAAATTAGTAATTCCTGTACTTGCACAAATACCCGTTTAAAATAAATGTCAAGAAAAGCTACCAAGACACAATGGAAACTAACGATGCACTGACGCGGGCTCATAAGGCATCAGAAATGAATGTAGAGTATTAACTGGTGTGATGTCAAACTAAGGAAGAGGGAGTGTTTATATGCCTATTCAGACTCACTACATGGTGACCCAGGCCATCAGAAGAGGAACTTAGTATAAAAAGCCTGATATCGCTCATGTAGACCAATTTCACAGTGCAGCGGAGCAAAGTCCCTGGCTTAACACATTAGGCCCACCAATGGGGCGTGCATGCTCATTCAAACAAAGCAGCATTATTAGCTACAGGTCTTTTCTCTGCATGCTGCTGTATGGAAGTGTGTGTGTGCACTTGTTCACCTTGCGCCCACCAGTGTACAGATAGTTGCCATCAGGGGAGAAGAGCAGATGGGTTAGGCCTCCATGGTGGCGGGTTGGCAGCAGAGCCAGCAGGGTGCCGTCTTGGCAGGAGTAGAGCCCAGCACAGCGGGAGTAAGAGCCACAGGCATAAACAGACTGGCAAGAACTGAAGCCAAAGCAAGAGATGATGCCACTTTGGCCCTGCTTCTTCACTGCAGTAAAGACAAGAACGTGGCATTTGGCACAGCTTCCAGAACTTAACAAGTTCACAAGACACATCTCCCCATCAATTCTACTCAATGTTGACTTTTTGGCTACCGTTATATCACTGATTACATCTCTATGAGGAAAATGCACTCAGTCACATTTGTATAATCTGCTTTATTTTACTCTTTTCCAATTCATCCTCTCTCCCACACTTAAGGCTTTTAGCAGGTTTTCAGACATTTTGCATTTGTTTATTGGGTTTGATTGTTTCCACCTGAAGAGTAACCTCTCATTTTGCATACTTTGACACTTTAAGAAATAAATTAGTGCAGGATAAGAAAGCTCAACCTTTACCTTCAAAAATAAAATCTATTTGTTGTCATTTTCTGATTATTTGGATGGTTTAGAATACTTTATCCCATTAAGAGTAAAAAAAAAAGACAGCTTCTGTTCATTTCAATATATTACAAAAACCTTCTAGCAAAATGAAACTTGTTTTAAGTTTGTGACAGAGATAATGAATTCATCCAAATAAACAATGGGTTGCCTTTAATTTTTTGTCAGAAGTACATAATAAAAACTCTCCATGTTGGTTTATTCAAGGTCACTCCAGCCTGTGAGATGTGGCAGTCAGTTGTCAAACAGCAGCTTACTGAGTACAAGCAACAACTGACTTTACATGATACATTTCATAATGTCCTTGTTTATTTATTGTTTGCCTTGTGGGTTTAGTTTTCTAAGAACAGCTCATGAATGCCATTCTTTTGTATTATTATTTTTTATTCCAAGAGTTTGGAGCATCCTTGAACAATAGGGAATGCACTTTTTACATACCTTATAATGCAGTATTTGTTGTAATTATTATTTATAACAGACATTTATCATTAAAGTGCACATATATTTTCTGCCACTTTCCAAATGCATTTTTTAGACTATTTAATTCAATGTAATCAGTTTTCAATGCAAAAGAGCCAAAAGATCTTCAGGTTTACCCCCCTTTACTTTATTTGAAGTTAATCAGCTACAACATGCTAAACCAAGAGAATGATGCTTTAAGCTGAAACTGTGAGAGAGCCAGATGCTGACCTACGGTGGGGCGCTCCTCACAGTCTCTTCCAGGACGTTCAGTGTAGAAGACCCTGACAGTTTTGTCAAAGCCGCAGTAAAGCTGCATCCCGTCGGGCGAGAAGCAGAGGGAGTGAGCTGCTGTTAGCTCATCCAGGTGATTGTAGGGTCGGAAAGTGGCTCGCACCTCCCCGTAAAAAGCATCCCATACATGGATTGGGTTGTCACGGCTACTGCTGGCTAGACTGTGGAAGAAGAGTTTCAGGAAAAAGATTTAAAGACCACAGAAACATAAAAGTGAATAATGGCAATTATGAAAAAGGTAATACACTACATGCTGAGAATATTTAGAGTCGATCTTTATTGTCATAGTAAGCAATTTGGTTGACCAACAGATGACTCAGTTTATAGTTTCAACATATGAGCATAATGCAACAATCAGTATTTATGTATAAAGTAACTAGTGGAATGAAACAGAGTTGCATCTTACAGAATACAAAGCATAATGGACCAGGCTGCAGTGATTCTTTTGAAATATACATTACATGTGACTAAAATACTTTTTGATTTTCTTGTTCCAACCTCTACTGCACCACTTCCACCTGATTGCATCTAAATAACTACAAAGCACTGTGTTCTGCCTCATTATGGAGACAAGACCACAGCACAGTCTTATTGATTCGAATCAGGGCCAAAGAACAAGCCATGCCTTTTTAACTCTAATTATTGGGTGCTGAACAAATTCCGAAACATCACTGCGGCTCAGTTATACAAAGGAAATTAGCCCCTTCCGCTGCTGCCATATTCTGTTATGGTCCCTCTGAGCTACAGCTTTATTCCAGAGCAGGGAAATGCCCAATTATAATGCTAGACTGCTGCTAGCTTGGAGCAATGCCTAGAACTCAATGCAACTTAACTGAGCCATAACAGGGGCCCTTATTCCCTCTCTACAGGAGTGGCATCAACAACATGGGTTGGAGAGTTCAAGGAGCACAGGAGGAAAAACAGGAAACAAAATGGAGGACGTGAAGAGGGGGAGGAGGGGAACAAAAATGGTACTTAAAAAAACAAGTCGGTCATAAATGTCTTTAAGAATCACAACCATAACCTTTTATCTGGCTGTCTCAGCCTTTAAAAATGCACTCCGAGATTGTCCAACCACCTGGCTGTGCCCTTAAGGAGCTTCTCTCTGATATGTGGCAGTGATCTGAGGAACACTCAAGAGTATCTGCTGTCAGCTCTTACTGGCATCCTCATCCTCATGACAGGCAGATCTTTGCACAGCTTTGGCAGATGTACATGGGCATCTCAAGTGGTTCATTGTCCACGAGTCCTTTGTTGTTTGATTTGTTGTTTACACAACGCTCATCTCTGAACCTCCAGCTCCTGACCCCTCTTTCTCAGTGAAGGCTGTCTGGTGCTGGGGTGGAGTGGTGCCAATGCTGGGCCGTGATCAGAGGAATCTGGATGGAGGCTGTAACTGGAGGATGATAGCAGCTGGGGGTATACACAGTGAAAACTGTTGGCACATTGACCTCAGCTCATTAGTACGGCCCTACCTCTCTCGCCACAAACTATCTGCATTCTCCACAGTGACGGCTGGGTGTTACTGATGTTGGCTCTGCTTCACAGAGCACACACAAACACACAGTGATGTTGTAATCACCACACTGTAAAAGCTGTGAGGGTGTGTGCCTGTACACACACATACACAGGAAAAAAAAGCAGAACAAGATGAAAAGAGAAGCCCCAAGTCAGGGAATCATGAGGCCCTTAGGTGCTGTCTTGGCTCAGGAGTGCAGTTAGTGAGCTGAATCATGCTGAAAAGCACTATGGGCCTCAAAGAGCCAAGCGTATTGTGATGAAGGCAGAAGAGCACTATGGGCCTCAAAGAGCCAAGCGCATTGTGATGGAGGCAGATCAGGCAAGACAAAGCCCAACTCTTCACTCATAATGAGAGACATCACAAAGCTCTTACAGCTGCTCTCCACGCTGGCGGCCAGCTCCCATACGGGGTGCCAATACCACAGGGATCAAAAAATGAGTCACAAGCATACAACAACTATATCTATTATTGTCTATCAGACAGGGTCAAGCACACAGAAAACACACACCAACAACGTCCCAGTCCAACCATCCAAAGATGCAAATTAAAAACACCAATCACTAACTAATGGCAGCCTCCACAGACAACATGGTACCTGTTCTTTGCACACATCCTTCACCACCTGACCTTCAAAAGTGAACTTTAAATGTCTCATCTATCCACGTGTTAAGAGCTGAGGCTTAGGGAATAGTTTAACAAAAATCAAGGTCAACTCACAAGCATGTGTCTGGGTCCAGAGAGTTCATCTTGGGGTACCAGCAGTAGTCATAGATGGTGTCTCCCTCTGCCATCCTCAGTGCTGGACTCTGCCACAAAAGTACAGAAACAGAGGCATTCAGGCATAGTATGTCAACTGACCGAAGACATCCACTGGTGCCGATGCTGGTCCTCAGTAGTTGTCTAGAAGACAGCATCACACACTTTTTACATGTTGTAAAATTTCAAAAGCCGGTGGCACAGTGTGAGATATAAAGCAAAGCTCAATTTTCTACCGTTTCTACAAAGACTGGGATCTTTGCAACAAGGAAATGGATTATAATTCAATTATCTTTTGTTCAGTGATCCCATCTATCAGCCTGTAATACAATTAAGCGATTGGCTAACCACTTTATATTTCCCAAAACATGAAGAACAGAATTCTTATTTTATTGTAACTGTTAAATCTTCAATAATACATTCTCTCAACCAGATGTCTCAAATTGATTAAAATATTTTGTTTTTTCTTAGATGATTGTGTCATAACATAAATGCAGGAATCATGTTCAACAACCATCAGCTGTATAAACTTCCAATTCTAAAACGGTAACTGTTACACATGCATCAGTGAGCCTTGGGCGCTAATGACCCTGTCGCCGGTTCACTGTCTGTCGTTCCTTGGACCACTTCTGATAGGTACTGATCACTGCAGCACCCCATGAGACCTGCCATTTAGGGTCTCTGACTCAAATTGTCTCCCCATCACAGTTTAGCCCTTGTCAAAGTCACTCAGATCCTTACACTCACCCATTTTTCCTGCTTCCAACACATCAACTTCAAGAACTGACTGTTCACTTGCCGTCTAATATATCCAAACCCTTATCAGGTGCCACTGTAATGAGATAATGTTATTAACTACACCTGCCAGTGATTTTAATGTTGTAGCTGATCAGTGTACACTGAGGGTTTTTGAATCTACTTAACAATTTTGGTCAAGATTGGCCCCCATCAACGTTTTCTGTATTTTGCCATCATATGGTACTTCTCTGTCCTCTAGTCATACATTAAGAGAGGCACTGATGCCATGCAATCTGTGCTCACCATCTCAGGAAGTAAATCCCAGGTGTAGCTATACACCTCTGGGGGGAGGTTGTACACACGGAGCACATTGTCTGCACTGTTGGTCAAGATACAGGAACCATCAGGGGCCCTAGGTTAGGAAAGGAGAGAGGGAGAAAAAAAGAAATGTTGGTGTATTAACAGCAGTGAACTGCTAACAACTTATACTCAACGTTGTTCCATTTTGAAGTTTCAGTAAGGGAGCACACACCATATCTGAGGCCAATGTCTTTTTGTGAACACACACAAAAAAAAGAATAGACACATTTCACATTCCAGTAGGCCTGAACGATATTAGGAAAGTATGTGATGTGCAATTAAAAACCTGTTATTATTAAAGAAAACACATGACTATCCAACCAAATAACTGAATGTTATTACAAAGACAGAACCACCCCAGTTTTTGCCTGCACCCACACAACCCTACATCTACTCAGGCAAACCGTTATTAAACATTCAGTAAAACTAGCAAACAAGGCACTACAGCGAAACAAGATTGAACCTATTTTAAATCAATATCTGGCAGTCAATGTTGATATTGTGGTGGCTGCCACAAATAAATCAATGTATGGGAAACACTGTGGCATGTGTAAATAAAATGGTTTTTCTTATTCATCACATTTCAAGCAGTTTTTTGTTATATGTTCACTGTGTATGGTCAAATCACAATGACAATGAAAAATATGATTTATCGGTCAGCCCTACAATACAGATTACACCACTGAGGCTCCAGTTTACACTAAGGCTACAAATAAATGTGTGATACCAAATTATGCTTTAACTTGGACAGCAGGGGAAATTTTCTTCTCCCCATCATCCAGCAGAGCAATAACTGTTCTGTGAAATGTAGGTGTCCTTGTAGTGATCTTGTTTATTGATTATAATCAGAAAATGCCTTAAAGGATAAAGCTGGTGATTTTCTAGGTTTTTGTTATTTTCCACAAAATCCATTCATTGAATAAAGCCAACAATGTTACATGTACATACCATAATAACTGTGAATCCAGATCCTGGTTAAACTAATTATTTTGTACTGTAGACATCAAATGTTATCCAAAAACTATTAAAAACACACCAATGAACTACTACTGCACAGGTGGCATGTTCTGTTTTCACATGGGGTATTTATGCAGAAAGATCACATGCATGAGCAGTTCATTCTTTCTTACTTAAGAGACCATACACAGCAATGGATGTGGAGCGCTGTGTGGAAATAGATGTACCCCATTCATTCTCTGAGAAGACGTCAGGCAGTGCAGCACTGACACAACTGCATTTTTAAAAAGGTTTGTCGCTTTAACTTTTAACACCTTCAAACTTCATACGTGGTGTACTTTATTTTATTTTAATATTATATAAAATTACCATTTGCAGCCTTTAAGGTAATTCTCTGGGAGGCTGGAGTACTCAGTCCATGAACCAGTCAGCATCTGGGGGTTCTGGCTAAAATCCAAGCCAAGCCTGGAGGTGGGATCAAAACAAAGCCAAGTTCTGAGTCAAAAAATTTAAGACAGAGGAAAATATACATCACAAATTGATCCACTGAACTGAGAAATGCTGTTTTCCATCATATTAGTGATGAAGATATAAAAGCATCTGAATGAATACAACCAGAACAGTGTTTGTTTTTCTTCCTGTTATTCTCCCTAAATGTTGACATGAGGATTTAAAAAAAAAAAGTCAAGTTTGAATGTTCTTTACATGTCTTACTTGTCTGCTTCTTTATTTCATAAACATGTGTTTAACTTATCTCCAGTCACTGAATAACACCACCCACCCTCGCCCCACAAAGTCATGCTTGAAATTGCTCACTTGATGGTCTGCGGCTGTAACTCTCCCCCAAAGTTATGTGGACACCGAGTTTAAAAATAAATCTGACTTCTTCCTCCACTTACTGTTGCCCTTCACTGGGGCTCTCTGCAGATCCATTAGCGTCGTGCTCCTCTTGTGGTTTTGTCTCTTCTTCTTCTAAGGGAGCATCATGCCCTCCATTTCCATTCTGATGGCACGCTTCTTCACCTCCCACACTCACAGGCACCTCTTCCCATCCTTGACATTGTAGTGATTCTTCTGTTCCTAATGTCAGAGTAAATTTGTACAGGTGAACTTTTAAATCTTCAAGCTAATCCTGAAACATCCCAAATCTTAACTTGAATAAACAAAATGTTTCCCCTTTCTTGTATTTAACCTCATACATGCAGCCTTATGGCAAAAGGTACTCTACTTTGTGCTGGATGGGCTGGGTCTTCCTGTTGTAAACCAGACTGTCCTGGTGTTTCACCATGCATCATGACAGGCTCAGTAACCTGTCCCAGCTCCTCCTCATTTATCTTGGGCCGTTTGGCAGCTGGAGGGACCTCCTCTTCTGAGGTCTCCCTTGCCTCTGAGCTGACACCTTTAGGAAAAGGTAGGGCCTGTTGAGGGGGCTCATTATCCGCTTCTGTGTCTTGCCCTGCACCTGTTATACCTCCACTTTCACCACCTCCGGTGGAATCTGACATCCTCTTTGTGTATCAGTCTCTTCTGTCAAGTCCTCTGCCTGATGTCCAAGGGCCTTGTGTATGGTAGTGGGGCTGTCAGACGTGGGTGAGGTAAGTGCTACTAGGATAGTGCTTCTTCCTGCAGTGTGGGTATTTGAGTCTGCTGGGGGTCGAGGACATCACAACACCCGCTAACCTAGAACACAGTGAAACGGATAAACATGAAAACAGGGAGTCGGCAGATCAGACTAGTGATAGAATAAGGTGGAAAGCACACGTCGAAACAATGCAGAAGAATAAACGAATGAAAATAGCTAAACACATACATCAATTAGGGGAGGGAAACATGGCCTTTCTAGTTTAGAACCAAAAATAACGGACACAAAAACTGCTCGTGCAAATACCCAGAAGACACCTGTGGCTAGTCGTGACGTGCGAACCTCTCCAAAATAGCATTAATAACGATTTTGCAATGTACAGATTAGACCACAAACCTTAAACGTTTTACTCAATGCACGCCCTGTTGTCGTTATATACTTAAAAGACTGGGAAAGAAAGCAAACCGCTAACTTCCTTTAACCTTCTGTCCATAACAGAGACAACAGTCAGCTTACGTTAGCTCATGTTAGCATTAGCCTACGCTAGGAGACTGTTGCTACATACCTGTGTTGTGGCTTGCTTGGCCTTTGGTTCTGCTCGCAGCTTGGCTTTAAACAAATTCCTCCTAGACGGTGTCAAACTTTCACCTAAAGCCGGGGAGTACTAATAACGTAGGAAAATACGTGACTTCTTTTACTTCGACACTTTGTTTGCATTCACAAGCTCATTTTGAGAAGTTAACACTGTAGGCAGCCATGTGTTGGAAACTATCGCGAGAGTTGTGCTCGTTAGGCTAAGATGCACTGTGCATTAGAATCTTTTCGTATGCATTTATTTTTGTAATTTTTACTGAAAAGGTTGCAATTTTTACAAAACTGTTACAGTTTGGATGCCGTTCCAAAACTTAAACCCTTCTGTTCAACAATACACATTGAACGACAATCTGCACTAGTGTCACTAGAACTCACTCCTGGGGAACAAAAAATGGTCCCCAGATGTAAACCATTAGCTTACAGTTTTTTGGTCAATATGGGCCAGTATTATTTTATCTCACAATAAAACTTGTAGAATATTTAGTTTTTTGTTGAAGACTGACACTCTTTAACAGTTGCCTTAAAGATTTCAACTTTTTAGTTAAAGCTGTCATACAGTTTATGAAATCAAAAACATTCACTGCAAGATATGTCTGTCAGTTTTTTATAAGTTCATCAAATTCAGCCATTTACTGTACACACAAACATTCCATGGATTCTGAAAGTAGGAAATGAGTAATAGCACAACTCAGTGTTAAATGCTGTTTATTTTGTATTTTTGTTCTTCAAACAAACAAAAGCCAAACTATTTACACATATTTCAGTTGTTCTTATCCTAAACATTTTCAATACATGTATGCTGTTATTTGACAACATTCAAAGGCTTACTATGGAAAGGAGCTGAGCTGACTGGGGGATAACTTTCATTATATTTTTTAAGTTAATAATGTTGGAACTACAGTTACCAGAGCTACGATGTACCGGATAATCAACTTCATACTGTAACAGGACAGGCTGTGACAGTATCTTTTCAAAGACCGCAACCAAACATCCAGGGCTCTTTAACAGAATACTGCAGTTTAACTAATAAAAGCTTTTGTAGCTCAGTAAAATAAACTGCAAACAGCTTCAGTTTACATATGGTTTGGCTGACTGACAACACATCAAACACATCAGTTTAAAAAAAAAGTCTAACAGGTATTTTTTTTTTCAAAGTCATTCACAAATAAGAGACTTGACCATATACTCACGTGGTTAAAGTCAATATCTCTGTTTTGGGAACCGATTACAACAATTTTAAACTTGGAAATCACTTGGTATTAATTCAGTAACAGTTATGACATATTAGAGTCTAGTATGGCTACATCAGTTTAGCTATGGCAGGGAACTACCCATCGAAACAGCTGATACAAGCGTATTACATGTCTAAGCTGAAGATAATCAATGAAGAATATCATTTGCTATTTGAGTTAAAAACTAAATTGTTTGGAGGATACAAAAAACTGTTGGCTGACTAAAAGCATTACTCTCTCAAATTCAATTAGTTATACATATACGGAACAAGACACTCCACATTTTGAGACATGGAATTTCTTTTCGGATAAATCTCACACACACTCACCGGTGGTTAGTTATCTGGTGCATAGACAGCAGAGCCACTCTGGGCCAAGTTGTGACCCAACTCAAGGTTAGTGCAAAAACCCTCAAATATTACAATTCACACAGGCTTGTTTTTAACAATCATGCTTCTTATACAAGACTGAGTCACCATTTCAAAACTAAATAGTACCTATTTGCTTCTGACACAATCATGTCAGAGTGTAAAAAGGCCCAGCTTGTATCTCAATTCAAGGATCTTGTCAAGTTTCTTCTAAAGAAGTGTTACAATAATTATTACACAATAAAGTTATGTCTGTGCATCCCACCCTGACAGCTCAGCTCCAGACTTCAGCCCTTTATTAAGTCTGCACCATCAGCAATAATCTAAACAGGATATCCAAACAAATACACTCTTCATTTTAAGGAAACCAAAAGGGCAACAAAAGCCAACCACCAGCAAAATCAGATTAATCAAACAAGCTTTGCTGCTCTATTCTGTAGCTAACTAGTAACTTTCATGGTCATCAGATGCACATCTATCAGGGTTTAGTAATACACAAGAGACAGCTGTTAGCTAACAAAATCTTGTAGAAAGCTTCTTTCTTGAACTTTAGAGGACAGTTAACAAGGTGGTTTCCAACTTAAACTTATCATTGAGAACATTTTCAGTTAGCCATTCAGGGCTGAACTACACAATTTAAAGGCATGAACAAAAAAATAAAGCAAAACACTATGGGGGTGGGGGGTGGGGGGAGAAATCAAAACAAACTTGCATTATTTACAAAGCTCAGTATTTGTATTGATGACCATTGATGCTTGTGTGTGTCTTGTGTCATCTGATCCATTGGTGTAGCCCCGTTATGTGTGGAGACATGTTCCAGAGGAGAGCTAATATACTGTAAATGAGTGTACACTGCTTTTGTGGTAGATGTGGACGTAGTGTGTCTGCCACTCCTTTGGACTGTAGAATCTATGTGATGTATATCTATGTGTTGGTGTTTTGTCATTTTTCAGTCTTTTTATACAATTCTTTCAGTTCAACAGCTGCAGGGGTTTCTGATGAGTTAGATGTAATCCAGTCACCTCTATCGAAACCCAACTCAGCATTCTGTCTTTTACATCTGGGCAGCAAAGCAGGTCTGTCCTGCTGGTAAGAAGACTTCCATGCAGCTGCCCAAGAGCTTCAGGTCGAGGTGGAAGATAACACCTGGGCAGTTCATGCCACTTGATCCTGCTTCCTTGCAGATCAAATCCTGAAGCTAACACTTCCAAAACAAATGGGATCCATGGTCAATATACATTTAACTTCATCTGGTAACTGTCCAACTGATAACGCCCATGACCCGTCCATTCCAAGGTCAGGACAAAGGTTTTTTTTAGGGTTGAAGTTCAAATAACAGGTTTAGGGTTAACCGGTTCATGGGCTGACTGCAGATTAGATCCTCCTTGCAGAGGGCAGCACATAAAGCACAGCCAGACACCTGGGAGAAGACAAAGAGCACAACACCATCATCACAACTGTTTCTAAATGGACAGTTTGGGCAAAGTGGCACAAAGTTAACCAGGAATAAATAATTAAAATTAAGTTATAAATATATTACAACAACAAGCAAATTTAGGCAAACATCTTACCAATGCCACAGTCACTCTACAGCTCTCAAGGCAGTCATCAGGTTGGGAAATGAGGTGGAAGCAACAGTTCTTTCAACCCATGTCTGCCTCTTTACTGTGCATGTTGATCAAACACTCTTGGTGCAACATCCATTTTGACAAGTAATCAGTCAGTCTTGGAGCCACTTGTAACAAGTCCAACACCTCCGTGTCCACGTGGTCGCTCCTTTCAAGCCCAGTTATGCCAGGGTTACTGCCGAACTAGGAGAAACCTACAGCAAGTCTATCTGAAACTATTTTCAAAAACAAGGGTTTTCTTGAAGAACATTCACTCCATATAATCAATGTCTCATGAATTTTCCTTCATCCATTTGCAAATTTTTTTTTTCTACTTAGAAAAATGATACAAAAATATGGTTATATACAGGAGGTGGGAGAAGGCATGCTTCTCAAGTCTTATTTAAGTTTGGGAATATCTTTTCAGTGACTTCAAAGTCATAGCAATCCTCCTGTTGTAATTGTGCTCCCATCCCCAAAATGGTACCTCACAGCTTGAATGAACAAAAGTGCATAGGTGAGTTGGTGAGGGCAGAGTGTGAGTGCTTATGAGGGTTGAGGTGAAGACAAGTGCACTAACCAGGTGTACTCACATTGCCCTCTCAGTTCCCCCTATGGTTATGCAGCCCTGCACCACAAGACAGCCAATCCTTGATTTTTGCTCCTCCACTCCATGGCTGATCATCAAGTCTCACGATCATGACCACACGAGTCCAGTTAGAGGAACTTGTCCATGTTATGCCTGGCAGATGCCACTGTTCCTCAAAAAAAAAAAAAAAATTCCCCACAACGTTCCTATGGCAGAGGCGCACTTGCAAACCCCACCCATCTTATGTGGGGGCAAAAGAAAAAAAATTTAAAACATACAAAAACTCCACCCACAGATATCCATGTGGTTTGTAAACAACCAAAGCTCCAATATGGAATTGAAAGAGTCCTTTCTTTGAAATCACTACTTGTACGACCATGTTTGTAAAAAATATCTTGTATCATCATGGGTGTCTTTTTTTTGGAATACATTCAATATTTTAAAAAAAGAAATACACACTTCACATGGCGATAAACAAATTAAAGAAATTTTTTTTTAAAAACAACAAAAATAGCAGCCCCAAGTGCTTATCTTAGTCCAAATACTTTTTAAACTTTGTATATAATGTATATATTCATATATATTTTTCATTAAAAAAAGAAAACTCGTCATTATCAAATTGCAACAACAAATAAGTGACACAATATGCTAACATGTCATGCACCGCTCTGTGCACTTGCACATTAAGATGCTGTATTTTTTTTTCTTTCGGAGTCAGAAACTCGAAACCTTTCATTCACAAGTTCGAGAGCTGACAAAAGGCAACGCGATCACACCCAGGGAAACCGTACTGGACATGGATCACCCCTAGACTAGAAATATTTACGATATAAACTTACATACTTTACCTACACTGTGCTGAGCACTGACACACATCACACACTCACTCAAAAAAGAGTTAATGTCTCAATGGCCACGCAGCCTATCCAAGTTCTTAGGCACAAATGTGCATTCATACACATACAAAAAAGCATGTATTCAAAATGAGTACCTGTAGTCTTAACTCATTTCTATGAACAGTAAAGGAACATCCATGCACACAAAGAGCCTCATTCAGATCCAAACACACAGTGAAGTCCCTCATGATTTGCCCGGTCTGCTAGTCCTCACAGGTCTACAGACAGGTCTCCATGGGGAGAAGCTAAGGGAAAGAAGCTAGTGGTGGTCATCGTGTGATGAGCACAAAGCTAACATTTACAAATGAATGCATTTCTATTTCATCTATCTGAGGATGAAGAGCTAGTGAGAGAAAGGATGTGTTGTGCAACTGCCCTCTCCCTCTCATTCACTCTCAAAACATACAGATCAAGTCCCTGTATGGAGACGGGACGAACACTGGCATGAACACACACACACACACACATTCTAAATATGAGAATACAAAATTACCATTTAAACAAAACAGAAAAATGGCCAC